CACACCACGCCTTCTTTACGCTGAATAATACCACAGAGCATAGGTGTGCCACAAGTTCCTTCACCACTGCTGCTGGTCTAGGTGTTGCTTTGGAAGCTCTGTAAGGACCGCTGGGCTGGCCCTTGGAGTCAGGGCTCTGACCCCAGGCCTCGCTGGCCTGGACGCTCTGAGACTGCTCCTCTGGTACAGTTTGCAGCATGGTACAATGTTGTTGTTATTGTTACTTTGTTTGGGTTTGATGTTGGCTTTTTGTTCTCACCAAAAAGACAAGGACGGAGAAGGAAGCATATCAGATGTCTGGGAGCCGAGTTAGTCCTCAGGCTCAAGCTACGGAAGGGAGACTCAAAAGGTGTACAGACAGACAACACCTGGGTATTTTCCACTTCCACATGACGTTTCTTTTTTCATACACAAGAGTACTCAGGTGATCTTGTAAACTTATTACAAGAAAGTATAGTGGTTCATTTTCCCTAGACCTTTTTCTTAGTAGTATCAGATTTATTTCGCAGCAAATCTCACTCGGGGCAGACTCCATCACGCAGGTTTTATAACGTACCACTAGTTACTAGCTGTTTTATCCCCTTTAAGCTTTTGACTTCAGATGGAAGTCTTTTTCTAGGTATTCTTTCTAGTTAAGAAACAGCTCGGTAGAGATATTATATTACAGGCATTTTAATAGTCAGTGACTTCCATGGGTCCCACCATTCTCACGGTTAACTTTTCGTTCCTGTGCAGGTACTGGGACTCGAATCAGGGCCTCAGTGCTGTCTCTCCACTTTTTCTCTCTGGGCAGCACACCTCCTCTTGAGCCGCAGCTCCACTTCCAGTTCTTAGGTAGTTTATTATAGATAAGCATCTTTAACAGACTTCTTTGCCGGGACTGACTGCAAATGGAAATCCTCAGATCTCGGCTTTCTGTGGAGCTGGAGCTGCAGGTGTGAGCCATCAGAGCCAGCCCTGACACTAACTTTCTACTTCTTTCAGAGGTGAGGGCCCCTTTCTCTGCCAAAGGCCGTTGAATATTTGTAATGTATACAGTGAGGCAGAGAGGCCACAGGAATCCACAAGCTGCCGGTCCCACCATACACCCCAAAATACAAACCTGCCGGTCCCACCATGCACCCCAAGCTATGAACCTGCCGGTCCCATCGTACACCCAAGGCTTTCTCAGGCTTCACAAAGCCCTGAGCCAAGGCTTCCCACCCATGAAGCCAGCTCCCTAAGAGGAATCGTTTTGTAATTCCTCCTTACCTGGCAGCCGCATCTCGGGTCCTGCTCCTGGGAGCCCTCCTCTAGGAAACAGTGGTCTACCAAGGTCGAGATGGCGGCTCTCCTCCTGGCCATGGGCCTGGTCACGACGTGGCTGCAGAGGATCTGTCATTACTACCTCATCTGAGGGCGGCCCCCGCCCTCCCACAGCAGTCCTCCACCTGGCTGTGGTGCTAGAAACCCAACGTGCTTTTCAAGCACAGGTCCCCAGGAACACTTGAGCCCAATTAAGTTGGATTTTCCATAGCAGAATTAATAGTAGCTTGTGCATGTCTCACTTTTGTTTGTTCTTTAAAAGTACTTGTTCTTGTGTGTTTGTCTTTACCTCCACTAGACCTGAACCCTCTTTTGGGGAGGTGGAACTCTTCCGCTCTTTTTCATGTTCCTAGCAACACAGTTTGGGTTTGTAGCTTCTAATTGCACATTAGAACCACAGGTGAGCGACAAATCCTGAAATGGAAGGAAGTGAAACTTATGGGAAAGAACCAAGCCGGCACTAAAGATGCCAAAGATTTATAGACCAGAAAAGGCATCCATGTTCCTGAATGTGTATGTTTGGGGCCTCGACAGGCAGGAGGAGCTGTCAGTAGAGGCATGGCTTGGGAGGCCCAGGCCCCCACCTTTTGGAGTAGTACACAGAGCAGGGAGATGAGATGGGAAGCTGCAGTTACAAACAAATCCTGTAGCCAATCAACGTAAGCCAGGTGCAGGTGCAGTAACTGCTGGGTTCTTGCTGAGCCAAGTAAGCCAAGGTAAAGGCTGCTTACTAATAAAACTCTCCTATTAGAATGCTTTGATCTTTGATTAGAAATTGGATGGGCTCAGGAGTGTAGATTGTTTCTGTGTGCCTGCTCCCCCGTGTTCTCGCAGTAATCTAACCAGAGCTACAGGAAACCAACGTGCTTGTTACACATAAAATGTTTTGAAAGCAGTCAATATTCTGAAACACCACAAGATGGAGATGATACTCCATTTACAGGGTGCTAGGTGTTTGGGTTTGGTTTGTACTCTTTGTTTAAAATGCTCCCGAAGTCTTTTGGACTTTTGTGGTTAAAAGAAAGAAAGAAAGATTTCCAAGTGGATGGACCTAGAACAAATCACATTAAGTGAGGTAAACCAAGCTCAGAGAGACAAATGGCGCATGTTTTCTCTCGTTTGTGGAAGCTAGATCTAAAGTGCACCGGGACATGATAAATTATACAGGACTGCAGGTATTCACACACAGTGAGGCCAAAGGAGGACGCTCCCAGGGGAAGAGCGCAAAGGCTCCATGCCTCTGTGCCTCTGATCGTACAAAACACTGCTTACCGAAATGAAAATAAAAAATTAAGATTTCCAGACCATCAGTGTTTCTAAATGACATTTAAAAGCAAAACCTCCACTAAAACACAATTGTTACAAGGCTAGCCATTATAAGCGGGTTGAGGAATGTGAGTTATCTTTGCTTGTGTGCTGGCTGTTTGCATTTATCTTCTGTATGGAGCTCTGTAGTTTCCTCTCAGAAGCAGCTTCTAGATAAAGAGTCATTCACCCCTGATCCTACCCCTGCTAGACTTGAAAATCACTTAAAGTCACTGTCTGAGCAGGCCTGACATCATATGACTGCTAAGAATAACACTTATGGTGTTAAGCATCTAAAGTTGGGTGTTTGTTTCAGCTAAAACAAGAAAGAAATCAGTACCTGGTGCCAGTGGCTCACAGCTACCACCCTAACTACCTTGCGTTAAGATCAGGACTGGGACCAGTTCCTGCAAAACAACCTGAAACCTCACCTCAGCCAAGAAAGCACGCACAGTGGCGTGCGCTTGCCATTCCACTCCCACTGGAGGCTGCAAGCAGGAGATCACAGTTCCAGGCCAAGGTGGGCAATACAAGTTCATGAGACTTCTTCTCAGTAGAAAAACTGGGCATAGTGGCTCACGTTTGTCATTGCAATCTAGGCCAACCTGGACCTATCTCAAAAGGAACCGGAGGAAACAGTGCTGGAGGCACTGAAGCCCTGGATTCCACCCTCTGTGCTACGGAAGCAGAAAAAGGAAATAGGGGTGCTATCGAAGTGGGGTGCTAACGTAACATCTAAGAGGCAGCGTTTGCGGTCAGGAAATGGGCACTGAGGCAGTAACCACCAGACACTGTGTAAATCGTACTCTCAGTAATGTAAGAGTATAGACCAGAGTCCTTAACCTTGCAGTTGGAAAGGACTGGTTCTCACCCAGGGATAATTTTGGCTCCCCTGGACATTTCTCAGAAACTGAAGACATGGTTGATTTGGTCCTAACGGGAATGGGAAGAAGTGTTCGTATTGGCTATATTGGCTCTCTTAAGCCAATGGAAAATTCACAATGGATGGGAAACAAAGCAACAGTTGTAACTGTCATTTCTCCTCCACACTTAAATCCTGCTTCAGCTGAAATGGTTTGCTGTTCAGATTAAGTGGCAAAAACCAAGACCACAAAGCCTAAAATGCAGAGGTTCACAGAAGTCAGTCATGGAATGAATACACAAAAATGCATCCAGATTTCCTTACGTCATTTCTATCATCTTGTTTTGTCTGCACTTTGTGAGCTTACAGTGGAACTACATGTTCATGTTTTAAGCACATGTGTGCTTTTCTACCCTGATCTTGAGGTGCTTCCCGAAGGTAACCTCTCTTGCTAGCAGTGGAGCATACGGCAGTTCTGCTTCACTGGGTTTAAGCATAACAAAGAATCCTACTTCCCTCACAAATCCTCTGGCTCCCACCAGGATAAAATTACTCAGAAAAAGTAAGCTAACTTATCCCACTAGCTCCTGTAAATAAATCTACTCTCGCAGAGTTCCTGGCTACTGGAAGTGTAGGAAACTGTGTTGAGCAGGCAGCTTCTGGCAAGTTCTGTGTCATGGCATACCAACTAGAGAAGGAAAAACAAAAACACCCCGTGACATTCCAGAGAACACAACCCGTGACTAATCTGTTTCCTGCAGTACTGGAGACTGAACCCAAGGCTTCACACAGACTAGGCAGGTGCTCTACCACTGGGCCACTCCTCCAGCACAGCTAATCTTTGAAGGGAGAAACAGATGAACAGCACCTTAAGTGAGGAACCGCCAGTGTAGGGAGCAGGAACACGATTTGACTTAGATGGTAGATTTAGTGCCCACACAACTTTTGCCATCATCCATCAAGGGGTACCAACCAACGATCAAGCACATCTAACCTGGTACCAACATTGCACGTGTGAGAAAAGGCAAAAGCAGAAATTACGGGGCCCACAGGAGACCCAGCAGCCCGGGACGAGGGTGCTGACCGGCACACTACAAAGCACGCCTCACCCTGGCTACCTCTACTTCTCCCTCCTTACCCCAACTGCTTTCTTCTGTCTGAATTTAACCTCTGCCTTCTCAGCACCTTGGTGCCCTGGGAGCTTCTTCCCTTTTTTCTGTTGGGTCTGAGAACTTCATGCTCAAGGCAGTGAGCAGCAGTGGCCCCAGGCCTCTACCGGAGCCAGACTGCCATGTTGGCCGCACAGTGCCAACTCCAAACCTTCCACAGACCTGCTCTTGAACTGCCCACCTTCCCACACAGAGTTCATCTGATTTGTAGTAAGAAAGGATGTTCACTACGCATTTGCTAAGTGGAATCAGAAAACAGGCAGTAATGCTTAAAATCACAGCCTAATAGTAGCATTAAGTCTGATATGGCTGCATTTCAGTAAATCCAGACATAAATTAAGGAAGCTGTGCAGTACATATTTCATTAGAAAAATCATTTTATTAATTATGTTATATACATTTTACTTAATACAGAATTTGTAACTATCTGATTCAATATATATATATATATGTAATTTTTCATATTGAACACTGAGACAATTTATACAATGAACAAAGTTTAAACATTTCTATTTTAAATAAGTCTGTCAAAATCTAGATATATATGTGTGTGAATATGCGAATATATATGTTAGTTAAGAGAAACTATAGAAAGTTTAAAAACTTTAAAGCTTCAGAATTCTAAGAAAACCACTATAAAATGTTAAGTATTTCAATGAAAAATTAAATCTTTCAAAAATGACTAAGAACAAATCTATATTTTTTTAATGCTGGACCCAAACATAACATGGAACTATTTAGGTTTTAAATTATAAATTGTTAATTTTAACATTTGCAAAATATTTTCAGTGTCTTGAATAGCAAAAGTTTAAGAAAATTTATCAAAACTCTAGCTCAGATGAGAAGAACGATCCCTTTTAGAAGTGTCAGAGCAATAAACAATGCAATTTTCTTCTCTCTGGCACTTGGCAGTAGGGACACAAACACAGGATTTATTTAAAATAATAAAAAACTTATTTGTTTCTCCTTTTCATTTCAAGTAAAATGGCTAGGTATGACAAAATGTTTCAAATTATAGATCAAGTATCCAAATGTTCAGTAAATAAACAAAAACATAGTACCTTTCAAAGTCCCAAGATGTTCCCAAATATAAGAGGGAGTTGGTATCTTTACATGTAACATTACAGAACCTATGCTATCATTGGATGAATAATCCTATACTGTTATCAAATTTATCATAAAATGAGGCCAAATTAAAACAAACCTATACATTCAACCAATATAAATAAACTTAAGTTTGTGGAATAACTGTCTTCTACATATTAATAGAATACCTATTACATACCAGCTTTCCAATAGTCTCCATTCCTTTAATTAAATTTGATATATTTATTTCATTCCCAGAATTATCTCCACTCCTTGCCATCCACACAAAAGTAAGAAATGGAAGTATGATTTCTAAAATTATTTAACAATTCATAGATTATAACTTCATTTTAATTATTATGGTCATTTAAAAATCTAACAATATATAGCTTTCCAATCTTGTCAGCCTATAGACACAATCATTTAACACGATTAGCACAAGAAAAGATTGCTATAGCAGCTTTCACAATTCAAGCAAAAGACTTCAGGAAAGTGCTCAATCTGCTCACTGTTTTTTTGTGTTTTTTCATTTGTTTTTCTTTTTTTTTGGTGCTAATACACTGGGCTTGAACCCAGGTTTTTCTGCTCCTATCTCACTCTGCCAATTAAACAACACTCCCAGTCCAGTTTGTCTACAGGTTTAGAAATATAATCTCTTGGATTTTTCTGTCCTGGCTGGCTTCAAACTGCCATCTTCCTAGATGGCAGCCCCCTGAGTAGCTATGATTCCAACAGCAGAGAGCCACCAGCACCCTGCTATCCCTAACTTCTGCTAGAGAGTCTGGGGAATGTTACTCTGACAGAATGATGACTGCTGATTTACAAAAATGAACAGACACAGACATGTAATTTACACCTATACCAATTAGCTCCTGACCATGTATACAAATAAAGGGCTAAACACATTATGAAACACATAATTCTCAAACTATTTCAGATACATTTCACAGGACTGTTGTAAAAACTCACAACACAAAGAAAAAAAAGCACAGTGTTTAGTGATGATCACAAATACCATTTACGGAACAATGATGAAACTGCAATGTCATTACTGACTTGAGTTTGTCATCTTCTGTTTATTTCTGATGGTGGCTCGGAGTTTACGGATGACCAGCCTATCGGGTAGAATCATGTCGCCTTGTTGTTCTAGGTAATCTAATAGATTCTCAGTCCACTGGAGGGCAGCTGCATGATCTATATGCTTCTCTGGAACCAGTTCTGTGTCCTCCTCCTCATTTTCACTGGACTCATCTGTCTGGCCTTGGGCTCTCTTGATGATTTCAGTGTCGGTTAACACCTCGTAACCTGGCTCAGTACTGTCCACTTCAAGCCATCTTTCAATGTTCTCAGTGGTGGGGCTTTCCAGTCCTCTGGTATGCTGTAAAAGGGTGGCCACAGTAGCCACAGAAATATCTTCTTCATCAAAGACCAACCCTTCTTTCTCCTCTATGGTGGGGAGAATCTGCTTCCAAGCTCTGCTAATGGTAACCGGCTTCACCAAGTTCCACGCCATGGCTACTTCATAAAGTGCGTCCAGCAGAGTTAACCTCTTCCAGAATGATTTCAGGTCATTGCCTTCTTCCAGATTGTTCTGCAGAAGGCCTGCCCGATAGTTCCTCTTGGTCGCTGCTATGACCCCCTGGTCCAGGGGCTGAATCAGTGGAGCCACATTGGGTGGTAAATACTTGGCAAAGATCTGGCCATCCTCTGACCGCAGAACGTTTTCATTTGGGTGCGTTGGCGAATTACCCAGCAGCAGCACAGCCTTTTCCTGCAAGCCTTTGGATCTTAAGTGCTCTCGAACCTGTGGCACAAAGATCTTATCGAACCACTGTCGGAAAATGGAAAGGTCCATCCATGCACCTCTCCGGCTGAAATAGGAGACGGGCAGGTTCACGGTATCGGTTGCCTTGAAAGAGCGAGGCTTCTTGGCTCTGCCCACCACACACAGCTTCAGTTTGTGCAGACCTGTTGCGTTGGCACAACACATGACAGTGATTCTTTCTTCCGAGGACTTGTGCCCGGGGACGGAGCCTTTCCCTCTGATGCCGGAAGTCCTGGCAGGGAGACACTTCCAGAACAGCCCGGTCTCGTCCGCGTTGTAGATCTGTTCGGGCTGCAGATTCTCTCGCTCGACAAAGTCTCGGAAGCTGTTACAGAAGTCCTCCACGGCGGCCTCGTCTCCGTTCGGCCTCTCGTTTCTGATGTTGATCTCCCGGATGCTGTGCCGCTGCTTAAAGCGGGTGAGCCACCCGGCGGAGGGGTTGAAGTCGCCGTCCATGCCCAGGGCGTAGAAGAAGAACTCGGCCCTTTTGGCACAGATGGGCCCGGACACGGGGTGGCCCCGGGCCCGCTGCTGGTTGAACCACTCGAGCATGGCGCGGTCCAGCTCCTCGTACATGGACGGCTTCATGGACTTCCGCTTGGCCAGCAGGCTGGTGGAGTCGGAGCTGCTGGCGTAGCTGATGATCTTCTCCTTGTTCTTCCGGATGTCGCGGACCGTGGTCTCGCCGATGCCGTACACCGCGGCCAGCCGCTTGGGCGAGGCCCCGTCCTCCAGCTTCCGGATGATGTCCAGCTTGTCCTTGATGGTCAGCACCACGCGCTTCCGCTTCCCCGACATGGCGCCGGGCCCCCGCCGGGGCGAGGAGGCGCGGCCTGGAAGAGGGGGCAGAGGGGTGACCGGCGGCCGCGCGAGACGGCCCTGCCGGGCCCCGGGTTCGAACCCAGCTCGGCGCGCGGCCCGGGCCTCCCTGACCCCCGACCCCCGGGCCTCACTGACTCCCGACCCCCGGGCCTCGCTGACCCCCGACCCCCGGGCCTCGCTGACCCCCGACCCCCGGGCCTCGCTGACCCCCGAACTCCCCCCCCCCACACCACGGGCCTCGCTGACCCCGTCCTCCCCCCCCGGCCCCACGCTCCCGCGGGCCGCAGTCACGCCGGCCCTCGGAGGCCGTCCCTCGCGCCCCCGCCCGGCCCTCGGACGCCGTCCCTCGCGCCCCCGCCCGGCCCTCGGACGCCGTCCCTCGCGCCCCCGCCCGGCCCTCGGACGCCGTCCCTCGCGCCCCCGCCGCGGCCCTCGGAGGCCGTCCCTCGCGCCCCCGCCGCGGCCCACCTCGGAAGCAGCGACTCCACAGCGCTGACAGGCGCGCGCCGCCCCGCCCGGCGCCGCTCCGGAAGCCGCCCGCCGCCGCCCCGCCCCGCCCCCGGAGGCGGGACTTCCCCTGCCAGCCGGAAGTGGGCGGGGCGTCCTCTGCGCGCCCGAAGCCGGGCGGGGGCGGGGGCGGAGGCGGGGCGCTTTGAAGGGTGAGCGCGCGAGGGCGGTGCCGCGGCGCCGAGGGCCGAGGGCGGAGGCCGAGGACCGCGTCTCCCGGCGGGCACGAGTGAGGTACGGCGGGCTGGCGGGGACGCCGCGCCCCTCGGCCCCGCTCCGCGCCCCTCGGCCCCGCTCCGCGCCCCTCGGCCCCGCTCCGCGCCCCTCGGCCCCGTGCCCCTCGGCCCCGCTCCCCTCGGCCCCGCTCCGCGCCCCTCGGCCCCGCTCCCCTCGGCCCCGCTCCCCTCGGCCCCGCTCCGCGCCCCTCGGCCCCGCTCCGCGCCCCTCGGCTCCGCGCCCCTCGGCCCCGCTCCGCTCCCCTCGGCCCCGCTCCGCTCCCCTCGGCTCCGCGCCCCTCGGCCCCGCTCCGCGCCCCTCGGCCCCGCGCCCCTCGGCCCCGCTCCGCGCCCCTCGGCCCCGCTCCGCGCCCCTCGGCCCCGCTCCCCTGGCCCCGCTCTGCTCCCCTCGGCCCCGCTCCCCCTCGGCCCCGCGCCCCTCGGCCCCGCTCCGCTCCCCTCGGCCCCGCGGCCGGGCAGCGGGGGACGCGCGCCGGTCTCCGCCGCTGCCGTGGGGAGGAGCTCGGCCTGGAGAGCCGGTTCCGGCCGTGCGGGGCGCGGCCCTCGCCGCCCGTTCCGGGTTGTTCCCTGGCCGGAACCCTCCGGCGTCCGGGGCGGGCAGAGCTGGGCCCGGGCCGGTCCAGGGAGGGTCCCCGGGCGCCAGGTGGCCTCCCGCCGCGGGCCGGGGGTCTCGGGAGCGGACCCCGTTGGCGGGTGGTGTCCTGGCCCCGGGCTGAGCTGTCTTTCCAGTGGGGGAGGGACGGGGTCAGCTCCAGCCAGGTGACAGCCCTGGAGCCGGAACCCGACCTTGCTGCTTGGGCCTGTCCCCAGGATTGGCTGCGCGGCGGGCTGCTGCCGGCCACTTCCCCAGAAAGGCCACCGGACATTCATCTGACGCCATTTCTTGATCCCTCTCAAGCCCCTTTATGACAGAAAACATCAAGAAGGGAAAATGTCTTATGACATTTGAGCTAGTCTAGGTCTCCGCTGACCTCCAGGTAGTATCCGTGAACACCATCCCCTGCTTGCTCTCTCTTCTGGAGTACATATTAATGAATGAAGATCTAGAGGAAAGGGTGTTCTGGGGAGAAACTCAGGTGACATCATCACAGTCCCTTCTTTTAGTTGTAGAATTCCAGTACTGTGAGACAAGGAACACAATTGATGGGAATGAATTTTGGCTTTTAATTTCCATTCGTTGGCAGGAATCATACCTGTGTTATGTGTATCTCAACTGCTAAGCAATCATGAAATGGTGATGGTATTGATCTTCTCTATTCACTTATTGCTTTCTGGTTTTTATCTAAAGGTAAGGTATTATTACAGAATAAAAGTTTCATTTCAAGAAACTGAGTGTGTGCTGAACATACATAGGAATTGCATGCATTTGCATAGATGCTTTTTCTGAGTAAATCCTAAAGATAGCCTTCCATGCTCATCTCTCTCCAGGTTCATTCCCCTTTCCTCTGCCCTCATTCTTCCCAACCCAGTCTAATATAGTAAAGAGACCCAGAATTTATCAATAGGAGTCAACTACGTTTGTATTTCCCCTTGCAATAACAGCATTTTTTTTTACCTTATTGATAGTTTTGAAGTTGAAATGCTGGCAATTTTTTGATTGGCCAAATAAAATCATTTATTTAAAATAAATATATGTTGTCTCAAGCACTGAAATTCTTCAGTTTTTCAAAATAAATATTTTTTCATCAAAGTCTGCCTTTCTCTAAAATCTTTACTTTTGACCTCATTGGGCCATCCCTTAAATTTTCTAATTAGTATCATCCGTAAGATAGTGGAGGGAAGTCTGCAAATATTTCTCTTTTACACATTCTTTTCTTGCCTAATGAATGAATAATTTACAAAAGTGTCCTAATTCATCTGTACTAAAACGATAGAAAAAGCATATTTGTAAACTCCAGACCATTTTAATGGTTATTTTCTGAAAGTAAAATTTAGCAAGGAATAAGATATTAAAATGATATTTTAAAGGCTTAATCTTTACTACCTATACAAATATATTGGCAGCAGTCATTGTGTTGTACTGGATGGGAAGTCAGGAGACCTGCTCTCACTAGCAAGCATTGTGATCTTGGGTAAGTCATTTATACTCTATGTCCTTGCCTTTGATATTTATAAGTGAAAACAAATGGTATGTTCCTTGGAGGATTATTGTCAGGATTTAAGAATAATTATGAAAGTAAAAAATTGGGCAATTTCTTTTTAATGAATTTTTTAAATTTTTAAAATCATTTTTTATTTATGTGGTAGTGAGGAATTAAACCCAGGGCCTCATGGCAAGCTCTCTACCACTAAGCCACATCCCCAGCCCTTGTATTTCTTAATACGTACAGACATCAGTCTTCTTAATAGTGTGATCATCTTTTTCTACCATTGTCCTAGAAATAACATTATAACTTTCTGAGCATCTTTTTGGGTTTTTGGTTTTGGTTGTGGCTGTGGGGCTTGAACTCAACATCTGAGCACTGTCCCTGAACTCTTTTGCTCAAGACTAGCACCCTACCACTTGAACCACCCTACCACTTCCAGTTTTCTGGTGGTTAATTGGTGATAAGGGCTTCACAGACCTTCCTACCCAGGCTGGCTTCAAACTGTGATTCAGATCTCAGCCTCCTGAGAAGCTAGGATTATAGGCATGCGCCACCAGTGTCCAGCTGAGGGTGTTATTTTTTGAGTCATCTGGTATGTGTAAATCTATTTTGGATACTAATAAAATCAACTTTTCACATTATTTCTTACTGTCCGTGTTTGCTTCAGTCTATCAAAACCATCTTTGTCATTCATCATCTTTAGTGTTTTTTCATTATTTCTCTCAATTCCAAACATGTTTAGAAGAAAGGCTTATTACAGTGTAATGACTCATGACATACTCATAATTGGTTTATGCAAATTTAACGTATTTGTTTACAAATACTTATTTGTACTGTATGCCTTCAAAATATAAGTTCCCTAATCTATCTAGTATCTATTCTAAGAAACACCATCTTTTCAGAAACTCGGTGGACATATTGTAAAGAATACATCCATCAGTAACATAGGAATTTTTTTAAAAAAGTAACCACACATCTCTGATATTTTTGTTCACCTTCATTGGTTTTAATATAAGCCTTCTTCAAGATGCAACCAAAGTATAATTTCAGGTAACAGACTCTTGTGCCTAGTGACTAGAATTGTTAATATTGCTATTAGGTTATTGTAGCAATTACTGTCCACACCATAAACATCATTTCTGGTATATAGTGTTACAACTACTGTTCTGACTTTTAGAGTTGTTACCATCATAAACAGAGACATTGGCTTATAAATATACCAGGATTTATACAATCTAATCAGTAGTATCTTTCCTCTTCCAAGCAATCATCTTTTTTATAAACCTGGTCCAGCAATACCTCACTGCTCAAAAAAAAAATTAACTTTCAAGTTTTGGCATTTCTTTCAAAGTGTGTCTCATGTGTTTATGAATGTCCTTAATAATAGTTGGAAACTGCTAATAGTCTACATACATACCCTTAGATTTTTATTTTTCATTTCGGTGGGGGTTTTATGCTGTCATTTATAGAAAATTCCAGGAATGTTCTGTACATGGTAGAAATACTGAAATAATCAGACTTGTGGTCGTTTCATTGCAGGGAGCTAATGGCTAAATTCTATAAGCCCTTACACACATGTATAAGATCAGCCTCATTACATAATGGCCACACTTCTAGTCCATAGCAACCAGAAGTGATTCTGATTTTCTAATTATCTTACCTATCTCTTGATTGCTTCTTTAGTATATACTTGGGATCATTTTAATGGAAATCACCCTTTTTTAACATCAGAAACTGACAGCATTTGGTTTTCTTCCAATATCATCTCTGCTTCACCATGAAGCTTTCTTGTTTTTCTACTTGACTACACTATTGGATTGTCAGTAAATTTTCTGTTGGATTGTACCATATCTAGCCCTACTGCCACCTTGCTAAGGTACAGAGAGGCTATCGTCATACTGGATAGGTGATCTTTCTCCTTCTCGCTGCTGCCTCGTGTCAGCTGCTACTTTACAACTTTCCTCATGCAAAGTGATTCTTTATGATTCATGTCATTTTGCGACTCAAAATCCACCTTTGCCTAAAGGATGATCACCTTGGATATCTCATTCTACTTTTCTATTCCTGTCTCCCGTTTTGAGCCTGAAGTTTCATTTTTGTTTGTTTTCCATCCATAGTTTTTCAGCCTCACTTACTGATCATAAAATGTTTGTTATCAACACCAAACACTTTGTTTTTACTGTTTTTACCTTCCTGAAATTACTTTTTCCTTTATTCTCTCTTTCCAAACATAATCAATCTTTCAACTATAAATATTTTGTGAAGGGCTTGGCCTATTAATATTCTTGCATCTTCATATTTTAATTGCTGTTATTTTTATCATTCATTTTGTACCAAATGAATACCTTGAATTTTTCATTTTTACTTTCGTTTTACATATAAGTATTTATTTTCTGAAGGTCCCAGGAGCATTTTCTTTGTATCCCTTTCAATACAACATAGCACAATTTGGAAAATATCCATGTAATTGTTTCATAGATGTTGAGTAATTATTTGTATAATGGTTTATAATTTTATATTTATAATAACTCTTCAGATATCTTACCCAGATATTTCATGTAATTTTACCTTTGTGGATCATTCAATAAAATCATAGAAAGATGATGTTTGCCATATATTAATTCATTGGTGCAATCTATTTTATTCCTATAACTTTATTTTGTAGAAGCTTTCATGAAAATGGTACATGTTAG